TGATAAGACGATGACATCTGAATTGCAGAGGAAACACCCTGAAACGTGCAAAGAAGCCATTGGTTGCTTCAATGGAATTTGGAAATTCAGCAGGATGAGGTACTTGAATTGTGAAAATGCGGTAAGAAACGTCAAAAGGCAAGGGAAGCAGTACGCAATAAAAAGGTTATTCTAGTGTAAGAGCTACGCAGTCTCCGCAGGAACACGCCGCTGTAATGCAATTTCATCGTCAGCAGTTCACCGGAAGCCTCTCTTTTGATGACGTCGCCCGGATGAGATCCCTTTAGCCTCACTCCCCTCGTTTATGAGGTTGGCTATCGACACAACCTCTATATTATAGCAGCCTCAATTTATCTCAAATGAATTATGCGATGTAAGGGATGCAGGACCAGGCAAAAGACAAAGAGTCACCCTTCCTCTTTCACTCCCTTCCCAGAAATACGACGGAGTATGAAAATAAATATTCCCTTCCTTCACGTCTTTCTGCACACCTGGAGGGGAAGGGACGGGAACCTCCTCTCCATATTTCCTCCGCCCACGCTCTTTCTCACTCCCCTCACGATCCTCCATCCTCCCTTTTCCTTCCCCGCTTCTGAGGGAGAGAGAGAGAGAGATGGGGAGGGGGGAGATCTCCCCGAGTCCCGGTCTATATTTAGAAGAGGAGAGAGGAAGAGGATAGACTGTGAGCAAGAAAGGGAAGAGAATCCGTCCGTCCCATTCATGCAGGCGAAAGCAGCATGCGAATCGATCGCGTCAGTCGTGGAGTTCGCGCATCCTCTACGTCAATTCCTTTACAGGCATCTCTCTCCCGAGATCCATTCACAGACCAAGAGTACCCTACTTACTACTCCCACGCTCTTTCTCTTCGTGCGATGAGTCGAAACGATAGTGGGTGGTACAGTTTCACCCTGAAGAATAGATGTCCAAAAATAATGCGCTGAGAGTTGAGTAATAAAATATACTCATAGGTCTAGTACCGTAAACCAGTGCAAGTATACGTTTTAAAATGTTCGTAGGTTAAGTCGAAATAATTGGTTATTAAATAAATCAATAAGCAAATATGTACATCTTTAAAGTTAATATACAGGGTGTTTCAAAAGTAACTGCTGTAGAGACATCACTAGTATTATGCAGAAAAATAAGTCATTCAAAAAAATGTATTTGTTGTTAGTGATCAAATAGAACAAAAATACCACAAAAACACATCAGAGGTAACAGAAGACTTCAATATTAGGATCATTATTTATGGGTTATCTGAAAAGAAAAAAACAATCAGCATTATGTATTATCAGTATAGGTATGCCGTTTCAGTGCACAATTACTTTCAAAACACCCTGTATATATTTAAAACATAGTTTCCCAATCATTGAGATATTACCTCTGAAATCAACACCATTTTCTGCATTCATCCTCAGATCTTCAACAGCTTTCCTTCGCAATAAAAGCGAACGACATATTTTGAAGTTGACCTCAGCTTTCTGATGCGGCAGTGCTTGCAAACACATATCCGAACGCCTGCCAGTACTACGGCACCGTGATGTCAGTTATTTTAGATCGAAACCGTCAACTTTGACCTACTTTTCTCACTCGCCAAAAGAGAAAGTGCATAGTTCGCATGGCATTTTTGTAGTCTGGATCTGGAAACAGGAGCATGCCTATGAAATAAGCCGTGCCCTTCTCCCTTGGGCTCTAATGGATATAATGTTCCAAGGAGAGTAGGAAGAGATGAATGATGACGAGGTGAATTTCAGGGAAAGATGAAAGCTGCTTCATAATGTACTGTTGGGGTCGTTTGTCATTTTCTTTTCTTTTCCAAAAGTTTTACAGCTTTTGCTTGAGGCTACTGAAAATTATTATCCCCTTTATTTTGGAAGCGTGACACTGTTCTGTCACTGTAGGAACACTGGAACCTTATATGAGATTTTTAAATAGTGAATGTTGTCACAAAGGAGCCCATAAGGGGGCTCCTTTGGGGAGGGAGAGGCTATTATTTGAATAAGAAGCTCTCAGGTAACCAATAAATGCAAATCAGGTTGATTTACCCTAAGCCAAAGCATAATAGCAGTAATTCATTTTCTCAGTACCGGGTTAAGTAGAGTTGCTTTGCAAACGGAGGACAGTCAAGAGCCGTGAAGAGAGCGAATTTCTTACAAAAAGGCGGAACAAGTGCTAATGCGTACAGGCGACTGAAAAATGCATTGGATCATGGTTATCATAGTAGGAACCAGTTTTTGGCGTGGTGTAAGCTTTAAAATGGACAGCAATCATTGAAAAATGAACCATATGTCAGAAGACCAAGGACTGCTGCAATAGATGCACATTCCGCAGGTGCATGACCAATGTGAGACAAAACAGCACCAGTGACGGATACAGAAATTACTCAAAGGAGGGCGCTTCCTGCCCCTACTATAACCACCCTCTGTTCTATCGCCTTTTTCAGTATTCATCTGGGGTAAAATCTGGATATCCAATTCACAAGCCCAAACGAAATTCAAGTGCTTCTTTATTGGGGAAAAAAAAAAAATAGATTGGGAACCTGGTCATAGGTAGTCGCACCTGCGGAATGTTTGCATCTGTTACAGAAGTCCTTGGTCTTCTGGCATATGGTTCATTTTTCAATTATTGTTGTCCATTTTAAAGCTTCTTATACCACCCCAAAACCTGGTTCCTACTAAGATAAGCATGATCCAACGCATGCCTTGCTTTTCTGAAATAAGCACAACCTTGTTTATGTTGGACTACCTCTCATGCTTTCGTCTCTGGGATTGAAAAGGTGATCTATCGTAAGGTTCAACGAGAGCGAACCGTTCCAGACATACAGGGTGGGGCATAAGTTACTTGCTTCACACGGCTGATCCGGATGGGCTGCTACAATTTGTAAATCAATATGGGCATCAGTTTGAGCATCTCCTATGAGCACCTTCCTATTCAATTTGGGGTTCATGTGTCTATGTCACATGGAATACGATTAGATACGAAACAATTTGGTAAAGCATGTTGTCACGTTGTTATGCTTTCGTCTCTCGGGGCATGAAACTTTCGCCCCACCCAGCATATGAAAATAAGCTATTTCATGCTATGACAAATTTGCCTTTGTGAAAATGGAATACGGGACCTCAAAAAGTGGCTGAAGGTCAGACAGTACCTGTACCATTTCACATAAAACTAGACAATTATATTCTCAAGAGACTTGCATATGCGCCAGGGAAAAGTTTTCTCACGGTAGGTTCTTCCCAAGATCAAAGACACCGAGACATAAAACCGTGAAACTTAGACTCGCCTGCTTCCACTGCCTTCAACTTTTACAATTTCCTCACATGAAGCTAACGATAGACCAATGATCATAGAGATCAGTGTATACTTGGACAGTTACCTTGGCTAGCTGTCCACGCGGAAAGTGTTTTAGGGGTGCGGCACAACATGCCAGACCGAGATATCACACACATATCTTTTGGCCTAAACACTCATGGTTGAAAAACAATACTCGTTGTCATGCTGACTTGAACTTTTTCCACTTTGCCACAACTTCATCCACAGGCGTGACCGCAACCAGTGAAAGCTAAGCCATAATCTCTGACATTCTAGCATTCAAAATTTGCTGCTCAAGACTTTCAAGACAGGACGTCGACATCCAACGGCAGCTGGCGAATGTGGCTTAATAAAACAGAGAACTACCCACCCGGTGCTTTAAGAAAAAGGCATCCTTGGACAAACATTTTAATTTGTGAAATAATATTCGTATTACTTTTTCCAAGGCTTCGGAACAGAATTTTTTCGTTCCTCGTTCCGTTCCGTTCTACTTGTACCACGTGTTTCGGTTTCTGTTCCGTTCCACGATGATTAATTTCGTTCCGTTCCGTTCCACTGGTTCGCTGGGAAATTTAACACAAATTAATTTTTCTTCATATCCATGATGCGCCAGAAATTTTCTCCAAAAATCGCGATTGCAAAGGGAAATATTGTCTGGGTACTTGGAACGGAATGGAACGAAATTATCCTATTTTCCGGAGTAATCAATTTCGTTCCGTTCCGGTTTTTCGTTCCAGGGCCATCAGTGAATATCGTTCCGTGTTCCATTCCGTTCCGAAGCCCTGCTTTTTTCATAGCAGTCGAAAGAGGAAGATCTAAAAAAAAATTTAAAGCATTGTTTTGGCCCCAGTCAATAACGCACAACAATGCGTCAAAGAGGCAAGAGATAAATGAACACTAGAGCCGCCCCGGAAACTGGTGAATGGAATGAACTTGATGGCTGGGCTCATCGCTGGCAGCACAATTCAATGGCGACCGCGCCTTTCAGCCTGCGTGTAAGCGGGCGTTGGTGTTTTCGAAAAAAGTTTTGAAATTGGTGCCACTTGGGTTACGATTTTTCGACAAGGATTCACATGTGTGAAGCAGATTGTGTTCTCTTCTGAATGGTACACAACAATCTTGATTTTTAGTGTTGTACTAACCACTAAAAATACTTTTTCAGGGGTACCTTTTTTGAATGTACTTTAAACGTTCTTCAAATGACCTGCAGGTAAAAGGCCAGGGGTGTAATTTAAGGAATTTACTAATGCTGGGGAGGTACTAGAGGCCATTCAGAATGAGAGCGACTTAGCACCCTTCCTGTTTCATGATTCTTTTCACTGCGCTGTCTGACTGTCAATCTTGCTGGAGGTTTTCATGTGTTTTCATGAGGTGTTTCATGGAGCCCTCTCACATTAATAAGGGACCTTTTGAAAGACTGACAATGTGCCTTTAACAATCTTCACCCATGTATGTCTCCATCCAAGAAGCAACTTGTATTTTTTATTCCCTATTCAATTTAAACACATTCATCAAAAGTGCTCAGCCACCATTCACCAGCAAATGGAACAAAAGGAGCAGAATCAATGGAGTTCCTGGAAGAAACTGGGCCAAGATCATCGAAAAATTGAAAAAATTAATTATTGTTAATGGCACCATATTGGCCCTGTCCAAAATGAACAAGACTCCAAGTGACTCCACATTTTACTGTCACCCCGCAAAGTTTCAACTTCATTACTTTTGCAGGGTTCACATTAGCTTTTTTAAATGTTGAGTCCTGGCGCCTAGCTTCAGCTCAGTGGGAACATGTTCAGGTGGTTGTCAATGAGTCCCAAGGACTTAGGTGTTTTGCAAATATGAGTCAGGGATTCCATATAATGAGTTAATGTGAACTCTGTCTTGTAATTGAGCCTCTAGAATTTTTCCTTTTGATAAACAATTTTGTTTCCACCCTGTAGATGAAATGGAGGCCAACAGAGTATGGTGATCTTTGCTTGCATCTTTCTTAAAAGATGCATCCTCCAATTCCATCACCTTATCTCATAATTTCAAGGCTGTTCCTTTTCATCTCAAAAGTAGTTCCCATGCCTTAATGAGGGGGAGATGCCTTTAAGTCCTTAATTGAGCATGGAATTCAGGATGCAAAACTAGCTATCTTGATTGTGAACACACCCCAGACACCTTTTACATGTTTCATTTCCTTTAAGTTTTTCCCTTCCAATAACAAGTTTATCAGTAAAAAAATGAAGCACATCAGTACCACCAAGACAGATTCCTAGAATTTTATCAAATCTCCTTTTCTTCTTGCTGTCTCACTTCTCATTTAGCATAGAGCACTTTTTTGACTGTCACCAATTGGGAAACAATGACTTGATAAACAGAATGAAACCAGAGAGGCCTGTATGCCTCAATTTCATTACATGGGATTCAGATTGCACAAGAGACTAGACATGAGGTTCCTCTGTAGTTTGTTGTCAATAGTGGAAGACCTTGTCTACGGCTTCCAGACATCTCCACTTGTCAGGGATGTAGAATGGCTCAAAGATGAGAGGAAATGGAGTGTCATAACCAGTCACTCTCTGAACTGGTGCTTCCAAGTGCAAAAAGCATTCCTCCTGTAAAAGGGAAAGAAAGTATTCAAAAGTAGGCCTACTAATAAATCTTTTCATTAACTCTTTCAGACCTGGCATCCATTCCAATGGACATTGCATTTACATTGCATCTATGGCAATTTTTTAGAATTCTTGTGACATTGCACTCCATATTACGCTAAAATGGGCACAATTATGCATCGCTCAATTCCATCAGAGGCCTTCTTTCACCCATAAGTTTTGCAATCTTCAGTTATTTAATTAAATGTATAATATATAAAATATGGTATGATATGGTACATCTATTTAAAATATGAAAACTAAACATAAAGCATTAAAATTTCAATTACAATCACGAAAGAGCTAAAAAATGCAAAAAAGGATATTATTCTGATAGCAGCTTTAATTCAGGTCTGAAAGTTAATGACAATGAAAAATACAGTGCAAATGCATACAGAGGGGTTGGATGGGATATCTTGATTTCATTTGTAATCCCACTCAATCCTTTGAATATTAACATGAACTTTCTTTCTTCAATGATGCTTTCATCAAAGCAAATGGATCTGGTAGAGATCCATTTGCCTTGACAGAGAAGTGGAGATGTTTTCTAGGCTTTGAGATGAGGGAATGTGATGATCTAAAACTCACTTGAATGCTAGCTGCAATTTCTGCTCCAAAGCCTCCAGTGAGAGGGGCTTCATGAGCTATCACCAGCCTCCCTGTCTTCTTCACAGACTACAACATGTCAAAACATTATTACTGTTAAATCATCAATTTTTTAAATAAAAAAAATGCACCTCTTTAATAGCACAGAAAAAAAAAAATCAACTACAAATTCAAGAAGGCCAATATCTCACCTAATCAAACAAAAATTCACACAATATAAGGTTACTTCTATAAGCATTTCATTTGTCAAGTTAGCAGCTGTTCCAAGTCACTCCACTTGACACTAATGGCAAGTGGCAGACACTGCATTCAGTATTCTGGCATTTACCTGAAAAACCTTGGAGATCAAATGTAGGTGGTATGAGACATGATGTGGTACAATATCTAAAGTGTTGTACTGTATCCCTAAGTCTCCTTCCTACCTGGATGACTGTTTCCTTGTCCCATGGCAAAATGGTCACCAAATCAATCAGCTCACACGAAATGCCAAGCTTCTCCTGAGCAAGTTCACATACTTCTCTGAGGACATGCACCTGTGTTCCCCAACCAACAAGTGTCACATCATCACCTGCAAAGAAAACAAAATCTTACCCAAAACCCCAAATTTTGTTTGGGATAAGTTATAGCCAATTTTTTGCACCCATTGAAAACAAAAGTTCCTATGTGAATTAGAAGGTACACACTATCTCAAAGAAAGGGCACCAATTAATAAGCTAAAGTATCTTCAGTTGCTATCATTTAAGCTCCTCCACATGAAAATACAGATGAATAAGGAAGGTGTCTACCAATTTTAAAGTAATATCACCCAGTGCTTCATATACAATGACTTTTCAAGGCTGAAGTATTGACAATTGCAATGAAAAAGCAATTTTCATTTAGCTCCTCAGCAGATATGTCACTCTGGAGAGCTCAACATGACTAAACATGGGCAGCAGATCAGTGAAGAAACTGGCACTTGCTATAGTTTACCATATGTTATTATGTTTGCTTTTTATTCAGGTTGCAATTTTAATAATGGATTTTTATGTATGAGGTATGAGTTCTTATTTTTGCTAGTAAATGACAAAGATAGTTTAGAAGTGCTTGTGTGAATAGATGGCATCTGAAGTGTGCACACATGCAGTATGGTTGTTACATCTTCAAGACAAGTTTTAAAATGGCAGATGAATGTTATGTATCATTGAAGCAGCAGGCAGTGATAGAATTCCTTGTGAAGGAAGGTGAATCTGCCATAAATATTCACCAATGTATGACAGCTATGTATGGTAATGAATGCATGAGCTATAGCAATATGAGAAAGCGGGTAAAGAGATTCAATAGAGGGGAAACAAGTGTAGCAGATGTTCCTCTGTTTGGTTGTCCATAACAGCAGTGACACCTGAAAACATTGCCAGAGTGGATCAACTGATCAGAGAGGACAGACACATGAAGGCCTGTGAAATTGCAGTTGAAGTGGGCATTGTTATCAATGCAGTAGATTGCATCATTTGCGAAGAGCTGGGCTTTCCAAAGTGTGTGCATGGTGGTGCCCAGACAGTTGAAAGAAGACATGAAAGCAAGATGGAAAACAATTTGTGCAGAGTTGTTACAGCATTACCATGATGAAGGAAATGGTTTCCTTCATAGGATTGCCACTGGGGATGAAACTTGGGCACATCATTATGAGCCTGAATGAAAGTGCCAGAGCATGCAATGGCATCATAAATGTTCCTCTGAACAGAAGAAGTTTAAAGCTCAGCCTTCTGCCAGCAAGATTATGGTTACAGTTTTCTGGGACACACAAGGTGTACTCTTGATTGATTTCCTGCCAAGGGGAGAGACCATTATTACTGCCCACTACCAGACTACACTACGTTTACTGAATCGGACTACCAAGGACAAACAGCCTGCACTGCCACAGGCAGGCATCATTTTGCAGCATGACAATGCTCGTCTCCACACTGCCAATCAGACAACAGAACTCTTGGTCAAATGGGGATGGAAGGTGCTTCCCCATCCTGCATATAGTCCAGACTTAGCCATCAGACCATCAGATTTTCACTTGTTTTGACCCTTAGAGCAACATCTGAGAGGTGCACATTTTGGCGATGAAGATGAATTAAAGAGGACCATCCAGAAGTGGTTGACATACAAATAAACAATTTTATGAAAGTGGTTTTGACAAGTTGGTGTGATGATAGGAAAAGTGCACTTCTACGGATGGGGATTATATGGAAATATAAAAGTTGTTGCTTAAACATTATACTACTGTTAGCCTTGAGCAGTATCTTTCAATCTATTGTTTATAGTTATCTAATAAAAAATGATTGACCAAGACTTTTGGAGTGACTCTTGTAATTCTGTAGGCCTTCAGCATGACTCCATTAGTGTAGTGCTTATCATGTGCTATGAACTATGATTTTTTTCTAATTAAGAACAAAATTGGAAGCAGTGAAACAGACTAACACTTATTAAATAAAGTAGCACCCAAAAATTAAAATAATGCAAAGAATACCATTATAAATAAAAAAAACCTGAGTGTTGGGGTTTCCCTGGCTGGGAAAGAGAAAATCACCAAGAACCCTGAGCCCCATTCAAGGCAGAGTTATACATAGCCCTCATTTTCTGATTGAATTCGTGTTCTAGAAAGGGGAATGAGATAGGGTTACAAGGAATGTGTGAGACAGGAGTCAAAAAAGGACTAGACTGCCTTGGTGCTCAGGATCTCTTCAGGGAAATACCTTCACCTTTCCGTGTTTGCACCGTTCAGGTTTATTTTTTGTTGAAGGTACATTTATAATAGCCTGTGATAAGAGAAACTTACTAAAAAACCAATTTCATCACTGAGACTGCCTCCCATTTATGCTCAGCATGCTGGAATGTTCCAAAGCAATGAACCTGATGGGGAGTAGCCCCACAGATTCCTTGTTCACTGTGATTTTTTATTCTTCAGCTTCATAAAAGTTATTGGAATTAAAGCACTGAGTGAAATTTAGGAACTGGGCAGAATTCTTCCTACTCATCTGAGATGTCCTATGCAGAAAACCATGAAGCTCACATATCAGTTGGAGATATATTTTAAAGGAGCTTGTATAACCAGGTGTACAAATAACAACTATCACTTAGTAGACTCCCCCCCAGGGAAGGGATATGGCTGGTTCATTACATGGTTAGAGCTTCAGACACAAACGTGACTCAATCTTTGAGTATGGGATCAAGTTCAGGGTTTGGCAGGCTCTTCTTAGCCAATATATGAACTGATTTCTAGGAGGTATCTAACTAGCATCATGTACCAAGCATGTTTCACCATTTGATGTAGGGGGACACAATACATATTCATGCTTTCTCTCATGGTTCATGATTGAAAAATGTCTGCCATATGACACACCTTTTTCTTTAATTTAAAAATGACATGGGGAGAGGAGGAACTTTTAGGGAACTCTTGTTCTCTCCCCTCCTCTTTTTGTGTCTCTAACTCTTCCAGATCAAGGCTTTCCTTGTGCTGTCACATATTTTTTGGCATGGAAAAGTGGAAAGGATGGGAGACAGAATTATCTGTTAGTAGTTTGGAGATATGATAGGAGTTAAGATACAGATCTCGGGCCTCCTGCATAAGGAAAGCTTATGTATCCTATGCAACCTTTACATTGCCATGCCATTGACAGGGACCCTAGTAGTGTAATGGACATGGGTTGAGATGACATTCCTTGCAGGTCCTAGGCAACAGTGCAATGTTATGAGTACTATCAGACTCTCATTTACAAAATGGCCATCATTTTTGCCATATACGTGGGGCGTTCAAAAAGTCTTGGAAGTGACCCTGCCACATAGGCAATAATGAATGAAGCAATATTTTTTTTTTGCCTTTAGTTATTCGAAATAGTCACTGGCAGCTGCCATGTATTTCTTCAAACAGGTCAGAAACGTGTCAAATGCTCCACAGTACTCTTCTTGAGGTATACTTGCCAACTGTGAATTGATAGCCATGGAGAGATCTTGCATGCGAGAAAATGGCTTTCCAGCCAACTCTCTTTTGATTCTAGAAAGAAGCCAGAAATCACAGGGTGCCAGGTCAGGAGAGTAGGATGGATGGGCAATGACACGGACTTTCTGCTCCTCCAGGTACTGTTGTACAGCAGCCGTCTTGTGGCTTGATGCATTGTTGTGCAAAAGCTGTGTGCGTGATGTGCCAACTGTGGGTTTCTTTTTGGTGATTGATTTGCAGAATTCAGGAAGGGTATTGTTCTTGTAGTAATTACCAGTCATTGTCTGCTTCTCAGGTAGAACATCTACCAACAGAGGGCCTTCATCGTCAAAAAACATGGTGAACAGGTGTTTCTTTGACCGGAAATCCTGTTGCAGAATCTTTGGCCGGGGCTCATTTTCAGCTAGCCACACCATGTTGTCTGTCTTGTTAGGCATTGTGTAGTAGTAGAACCAGCTCTCATCACCTGTAGCAATATCAGTCAAACGTTTGGAACCATTAGGACCAAACAGTTCCAAGTTTTCACGTGAAAACTGCACTCGTTTTGCCTTCTGTTCTGCAGTCAGTTGGTGTGGGATCACTTTGCACATATCTTCCTAACATTCAGCTCATTGTGTAAAATGTTTGAAATTGAGCCAGCACTTGGTCCACACTTGTCCACTAATGTTTCAATGGTTACACTTGGGTTAGCCTGCAAAATGCCTCTGACACAATCTGTGTTTTTCTTGTTCACAATTGATTTCAGGTGTCCTTCACGTGGCTGGTCTTGCAGAGTGTCTCTATCACTACTAAATTCACATATCCATCAGGCAACTGTGTTGAATGAAGAACATTTGTCCCCATGCACACGCTGTAGATCAGCATGAATCTGGCTTGCACTATCTCCGAGTTTCATCCGGGTGAAAACATAGAATCATTCACTCTCTTTGTTAAATTCCATATTTTTAGGCTACAGTCAAAATTGACACTTTTTTGCTGAACTAGTGCACAGCCTACAATATAGATACAGATACTGTTATTATTTCTAGACAATAGTCAATGTCACTTGTATATGCCACTATCAATAAATCAACCCAGATACAAACCACTCCTTTCGTACATGCTCACTTCCAAGACTTTTTGAATGCCCCACGTATGTTGCCCGTGGAAGTTACTAGGGCCATCCCTATAATAATAATAAAAAGTTGGAAAGTAAATTTTATAGAAAACCCTTAAACTGATGTAAAATTTGTATACTAGGTTGCCCAAAAGTTGTGATATTGTACTTCAGTGCTTTGTAACTTGTTACCAGTTAATAGCAATTTTTTAGTTTTTGTGCAAGTTGGTTCTGCATGTGATTCTGCAGAAACTGATCATCACAATAGGCTATTTCTAGAAGCAGTATGAAAATGGACAAGAAAGAACTTGCCCATACAGCAGTTCTCCAAGCTCATCTCTCTGGCAAGAAACTTTGGAAAATTTAAAAGCAGCTTCTGTCTAGTGGTGTGAATCGCAATGTAGTGTACAGAACTGTGAAGCAACACACTGAAATCGGAACTATCAGCAACAAAAAACGATCTGGTTGACCTCAAAGCAAAAGAACGCCTGAGCTTATAAAAAATGTGGTGAAAATATGGAGAAATCCACAAAGACAATAAACAATGGTGAAGCAAATGAATGTGTCAAGGCAAATCATGGGAAGAGTGCTTAGGGAAGACCTTGGACTTGAAGCTTTAAAATTTGAAAACAAGAAATGAACATTTCAACAAGACTTCGCTCCTTCCCACGAAGCAAAAGATGCCCAGAACTGGTTGAGAGAGAAAATTCCTGATTTCAACTCTTTTCAAGAATGGCCAGCTGCATCACCAGACCTTAATCCTCTCAATTACGCCACATGATCCAAAATGGAAAGCGAAGTCTGTGCAAGCCCTCACCTAACTCTAAAAAGTTAAAAGAAAAAACTAATAAAGGTTTGGGACCAATAATCCATGGTTGTAGTGCATGCTACAATCAATGAGTGACCCAAGAGATTTCAAGCCTGTGTCAAAGCCAAAGGAGGATATTTTGAAGTATAAATAATATTTTATGCACTCAAGTTATGATGAAATAATTTTAGGTTTGATTAAATTCTATAATAAAATACCAGTTTTGGAGCAATTTGAATGAGTATCACAACTTAAGGGCAACCTGGTATAAAGAATCATTAACCAATGTTTCTCGATTCATGACTCCTTCTTTTTCAAATTGCAGGGTTTCTCCATTCCTCAATATGCCCTAATCCTTTCCTTGCAGGTTTTTCTTAAAAAGAAAGTGACTAGTAGGAGTTGCATCAATGATTGTATGCCTGTTTCAAATGAGCATTGTTCTCAAGCTGCATTTGAATATTTCCTTTTCTTCACAGAGCAATCTTGATAGCACAATTGAGGTTGAATATGTTGATATAGGCCTGGCCTTTGCAAAAACTCAGTCCCACATCCAGGTGGAATGCACAGTATGGTACCTCATCATGCTGAGGTTGAGGGGAAGTGTAGAGGGGGATAACAAGAGGTAAATAACAAACCTTCATGGAGGACATCAGCCTTCATCAGAGGAAGCATATAATCCTTAGATGGAACTTGTTCAACAGCTGATCGATACAGAACTTTTGGTTCCAAAAATAGACATGGGTCCTTATCACGAATGCAGGAAAGAAGTAATCCTTTTGCCACAATGGGACCTCGTGGAACCACCACCTGCATAAGACAGGATGTACGAATAAAAGAAATATCTAGATGACAAATCAACCTCTTCACTGGCATGTAATCATCACCAACACTGAAGAGCAAGATCAAATAATCTAAATACAAAAGCATCAGTGGCCTCATATCCAAAGGTGTGATGCTGCAGCAAGACAATCTCACCCTAATATTGCTCAGTCTCCACCAGGACAATACTTCATCCTGGCTGGGAATATGACTCTACCCACTTGGCAGTTAAAATTTTGCCTCATTTGACTATCACCTTCACTCACATGATAAAAAGTTATTGATAGGAAGGAGATATCAGTCAAAGATTGCCTCTCATATTATCATGAGGATGTGCGTATAAATTTCACAACTGATGGTGACCTCAGGGTAATATACCGCTTTGTGAGTGCGCCCAATCTTGAAAAATATTCACTGCTCTGCCAGAATAAAATGAACATGATGAATGATAGTGAATAAACATGGATTTACTAATCTGTGATACAATTACAATACAAAGGACCACATATTTTGAATGCAGCCAAAGGACACACTATCAAATATTAATACTAATATACCTTGTAAGTGGTATTTTGGATTGTGATCGTATCACAGATTAGTAAATTAAAGTTATTCACTATCAGCTGTGTTCATTTTATTCTGGCAGGGCACTGTATAATAAAAATTAGGAATGTGTTTCCCTGGCTATAAAGAAAAGCTTTGCAAAAAATATTTTATCCCTTTCAAAAATTAATTTGATCATATAGGATTAGGGGTGAATATTCTTGAAAGGTACAAGTGAAATTTAGCTTACTTTTGAAAGTATGGGAACTTTACAGCTCCCCCTCCCCCCTCATCCTCTGCAGATCATTAAAGACCAATATGGAGTAGTACTGGGTGCTGAGGCAAAAATATATTCAAGATTTAAGGAATCTTTTGAAGAGCTTTTTAAAAACCCATCCATGGAGGATTGGATATATCTGAGTAGGAGCCACCCTCTTTAGAGAGTAGTCTTGCCATAGAGGAGGTAAGAGAATATATTTTTTAGATTAAATAAATTTTTTGACGAGGATCATAAGTAAAATATACTCTACTTGGAGAATGAAATAAAAAGGGTGTCCCTAAAATCTCTGACAAATTGAAAATTTCTGTAAATTCAAATGAACAATGTTAGAGTTATGCAGTAAGGCACATAATTTCCACAACACCACACTTGAAGCTGTGGGATAGTTCCAACAGTTCCATTTCTAATGCATCTTTTGCAGCATGATATGATTAGCTGCCTCTATTAGGTAATACACATCTTCCATTCCTAAATGTTACCTGGCTGCCTTTTTTTTTTATTTTCACACAGCCCTTTACTTGATGCAACCATCCTGTTTGTAGTAGGTGCAACAGAAAATTTTACAAATATTGATAAATGATCTGCAGTCTTTCCTCAGAAGTATTCAATGAAGTTACAATTAGTAATATTAACAGTACCAGGTGTTGCACATAGATACCCCCCACTCCACAGCCTAAACTATAGAAGCAAGGAAAACATTTTAAATATATTTGGAATCCTTGTTCAATTTTGAATCTATTCCATCCAATTTTGTTTTTTCCTGATGTCATATAATGGTGAAAAACTTAAATTCAATTATCCCGTGCTATTACGTTACGAGCTCAAGATGCCAGCGCTGAATTTGTTACCCATTAATGGGTTTAGAAAAAGATTTAAACGTTCAGTTTCTATCTGATAAAGCCCTATTTTTCAAAGCTTTGATCACATGGCAATTGCTGAAAGGCTCAGAGATTGCTTCTTTTTTTTTGGAAATGGGGAATGGCTGGGAAACTCTCCTGATCTGAATGTGGCTGAGAAAATTGGGGTCATCCTAAAAGACCGAGTTGAGGTTCATGCACATGGAGGGCAAGCAGCATGGATTCTCCTGGGAAGCCTTGCAAAGCGACATCACCAGGGTGTTGAAGGACGTGGAAGATGACACCGAACTCTTTAAATGCCTCTTTTCATCTTACCCCATTCGTATTAAAGCCCTCAGAGATAGAGCCAGGATGCATACAAATTATGATAAGTACATGTTTAGATTCGAAAATGAATGCTCTTTCTCATGTTATACGAGTTTTTTTCCTAGATCTTATAGTTTAGGCTGTGGAGGGGGGGGGGTTACCTATGTACAACACCCAGTACATACAATTTCAGACATAAGAATGCTGCATAAGAAACTGAAAGGTGTGCAATCATTATGTGCTTCACTGCATGGCTCAATTGTTGTTCATTCAATATTTACGTAATAAATCATAGGTCTTATGAACATCCAAGAACTTCAATCTATACTGCTCAAAAAATTTAAAGGTTGCCTATGTTCCTAATATTTTGGCAGCCCATTTTTCAAATAATTGCAAATCAAGTGCAGACACTAACATGGACAAAATTGGACTACAAATAAAGATCAAGGGATGAATTATAGAAAATGGTGCAATGTGCATAGGCCAATTTCCCTTTATATGAAGGTATCTTAAATAGTCAGAGCCTTTTATATGACAACAGTCCATTCTCTAAGCAGAAATTCCTGTACATCCTGATTCATTTGTAATAATTACATTTAATAATCAAACAATGAATATATCATTAGGATGGCAAGCAAAATTCACTTCCAACCCATACAGTATACTAAAGGCATCTCAGGTGATTAGTAACTTCTAGTTTCATTCATTCATCTGCAAAATCATAGTCTTTTTCAATACATTCTAATTTCAGCATGAATAAAAATTTTCTCAGTTCTCAGGTTACAATTTTCCTCTTTTCTCCAAATGCCATAAGCCTCTGTGCAAATCTCAATTTTCTGTTCTAGTTTGTATAAAAAGGAGGGGGGGGGGAAGGAAAGACAACATTGCCCTGCTGGGCTGGAATGATGGGTACAAATGCAATTGTATCCAAGATAGCTCCTATTCAAAGGTGATGCTATTTGTGAGCAGGGCATCAGCATCAAGAACAACAGTACCAACAAACCTGTCACATGGATATAAATCCAGTACCAAAGTTGAGCAAATGATTGTGAATTGGAATTAATTTTAGACATGTTTGCTAACAACAGACTTTTGAGTGTGATTAGTCCAACATTACAAAATCTGTACCACAATACTTTTTTTCCCATGAAAAACCCATTTTGAAGTTAAACTGTAAAGGGGAAGGCATGTATAAAACTGTGCTATGGTGCTGATTTTGCAAGGTGAAGTTGGAAGTCAGTTGGCAGCAAGCATGTGTTCCAATTGGCATCCATTTGCAAAACTTTTGATTGTGTTGAATATATTTGCAGGTTTGTATTTTCCCTAATTATCAACTGCCACCCAGCACAGAGATTGTAATGAAAGCCAACCCTCATTGAGAATGGCAAGAGAGAAAACAGACAAGAGGAGCAACTGAAGGCAGGCAAGAAATAGGAGAGGGGGAAATTGTCCAAATTTCTAGTCTCCCAATGTGTGAATTTCACCTGACTGCAGTTTTTAAAATTTATTTTGACCTCAAGGTGCATCATACTGGAGAGGTGGATCCTATTACTATGAACCTGTGAATACCTCAAGATGTAGGAATAGGTCCATGCTGACAAAATTTCCATCCAGGTCCCAGGAAATTTAAGATTCTGGGAAAGGAAGTCCACTGGGCTATTTTGCAGCATGACCCCTTGAATTAAACATCTCATTAACATCTGACTTACAATATATTTTGGGTTCTGCACAAATCAATCAAAAGTTATAGGGCACCCTTGAGAGGTTTCATAATCACTCACAGGTTTTATGGCATAGGTTTAAACATGATATTATCTTGCTTCTTGCTCTGTATATCCACTCATTAAAGCCAGGTAATCAGTGGAGTCTTGGGATAAATTGATGTTGGACAAACTAGGTCCATTGAAAAGGCAATCAGATCTTGTACTTGACATATCACTCAGACACTATTAGCAAACTCTTAATGTCACTCATGGGAAGGAAAAGAAAGAGGCCTAGCACCTCTATTCAACTTCTGACCAGAGACAACTCTTGGGATTTCAAATCACAAAAATTTGCTAAGTTATAGTAGCATCTGAACCACACTGTCATCTCTTAGGAGAGTTGCACAACTGTGGCAACCCTCATCACAATAACTCACCAATAATGAGTTCCTGTAATTTTCCATCAGCAGATTTTTGGGGGGAAAAAAAGTAAAAATGAAACAACATTTTTGAATCTTCATTGGCAAAGTCTCTTAATCCCTTTCAAAAGATGTGCAACATCATGACAACAATATTCACTATTTTTGTTAAAGTTTAAAGTGATTAGGCTCATATCATTCTTTCTTCAGAACCTTTGTACACCTGCATTACAGTACCCCCTTGACAAGTCACAGCTTGTTGAGTCACAGGTCATCTGATGGTTCCTCTAAGCCTGAGCAGTAGTAGTTTTAAGCAAAATAAGCCAATTGTTATCATCTACACATTTAATAAATGATGAGGAATGGAAGATCCTTTGCTACGTCATGGCCTACACTAAGTCATGGGATCCTACCACCCATGACTTAGCAAGGGGATGCTGCATTTCCAAATACTTTTAAGCAGTTTCCTGTTGAATTCCCTTCATGGGATAGAAAAAAATAAATGAGTCAAGTTTTGATGAAAAGGTTTTTGTCCTTCAAGATAATATGAAACAAATGTATCAGCAGATGTGACATGAGAACGTGTGAGAAAGACACTTACCTTGAGGCCAGGTACATGTGCAAAGAAGGCTTCAGGGCTTTGAGAATGATACAGGGCTCCATGTCCCACAGCTCCACATGGTGCACGAATAGTCAAGTGGCCACAGTCAAAGAGATCTCCTGATCTATACCTATACTTGGCTGCTTCGTTGCAGATCTGAGAATATAACACATAGGTAGGTCAACTTGTAATCAGTAAATTCAAAACTTGCAATGACATCCACTAACCTTCAAAAAACTTCTACAATATTTATCATCAATACCACATATTACAAACTTTTTTAAAAATAAGTATTTTGAGGCAATAATGTCTTCAGATTACAAGTCAGTGTCCAAAAACCAGTACCCTCTAAATCAGGGGTGTCAAACTCGATTAGACTGGGGGCCGGATGGAAGCCTTTAGGGGTGATTAGAGGCCACAACAAAAATGTAACACCTTATTTTTAATGCAAACAGGCTGAAATTTTCAGTTCGTTTCCGGAACCAACTGTTGAAGAGGACTTCGCCGGCTGGACAAAATGGACTGGCGGGCCGGATCCAGCCCACGGGCCACCAGTTTGACACCCCTGCTCTAAATACCTTGGAATATGGCATTTTTATTGGTACTAATATCTGCTTACCTTGTTTAAGAGCAGCTTAGAGAATATGGAAAGTATCTTGGAAAATTACCATTGCTAAAGAACATAAAAATATGTCTTGCTTTTCATGTCATAATAGGCAAGAGGTGATATTTTTTGCAAATGATGATCTTTTCCATTACAGTGGCAACCTATTTTTTAGGCCACCCCGTACACAGTGATGAAGAGTATCATATACACAGTGATGGATACCTTACACCTGAATGCCATCAATGTAGAGATAATCTCTCAGGTGTATGAAAATGGGATACAGGGGAGAAAGAGAGCCTGCAGGAAGTGACAAAATCACCAGAGACCTCTGATAAGAAGCTACTTTCTCCCACAATTTGTTCAGCTTCTTAGATTTGTCTGTCTTGTGAGCTATTATCCCAAATGATATTTTTTTTAAACTATAATGAACACATCATAATGATGAATGATTTTGTACACACAGAATGGGGCAAAAGTTCATTACCTCAATTCAGATTGCATAGACTGTCAATGTGACATTAGTTTTCTTGCTTCTAAGGTACATTTTTCTCAGCATAGAAAGCTTCCCCCACACCATTCTCACTATACCTTTGGTTACAGATCTTAATTTGGTGCTAGTTATTGACAATGGACCACTGGCTCACCAAGGATAAACAAATAAGATTAAAATCTGTTAACTATATTCATAAGAAAATAAATTTGCCTTACCATGTATTGTGAATAAAAAACCAATAACATGAAACACCTCACAAAATGAAGGGCGATCATTATAGAGATCATGTAATAAGAATGGAATACCTGGTCAAATGCAGGAAAGATATAGTCAGCAAACTGAATTTCAGCAATGGCAGTGGCACCAGCTGTTGCCAATCCGATGGCAAAGCCAGCAATGCCTTGTTCACAGAGGGGTGTGTTGAAGACTCGATCTCTGCCATACTTATCTTGCAGTCCAACTGTGCAGCGAAATACTCCTCCAAATGCAACATCTTCCCCAAACACCACTGAATATAGTAGAGAATGGAAGAATGATTAACATGCACACATGCCAAATATGAAAGACAGTATATGAGGGATTAGAGACACATAAAAACTTTCCTCAAATCTCCAGCCCATCACAGTGGGGCACACAGAGAAAAACAAGGAAAGAATCTCCACCCAATATACATCCTGTGCTTCCTAGGTGTCTCTCAATTGAGGAGTTCTCTAGGAAAAGGGCAAATGTGCAAAAGATGCAATTCGAGATAAACGATAAAAACTTCCCATAGCTGATCATAGCTGGTCAAAACCTAATTATCAGTAAAATGGTATCTTAGACCTTTTCCCAATTGAACTTGGGGTTTTAAACAATTTCTTTACCTCACATTGCTGGGATGCAGGCAGAAGGTGTTTATGCACATATGCCCTTTTTCCATATCCGCACTGCTGAAACTTTTCCCAATGAATCTTTCACCACTTCTTTCTAGTTAAAAATAATAATTAATCAATAAATGCATCAACAGATTTCATATAAACTCTTCCTTGAAAAATAGCAATGAAAATGTGAATAGTCAGGACACGTTTCATTCACAAATTACTCAGCAGTGATCCATTAATAATGTATTCATCATCTGAATCTTCAACTATTTCATGGATATCTCCAACTTCTCACATCCTTCCAGAGGCTTGAATGACTCCACCTCTTTCTTTCCCTGTCTTCATGACTGGTTTCTTCCCCATTTTCACTTTCAGTTTAAAAAGACGAAATAATTCCACCAAAATCATTCAGCATGCAAGTGATAATGGAATATTCATGGAGGCAGCCATATTGAAATTGCCAGGCAGTTGGCCTGCTATTTCACGAGAGCATAGGAAAATCTGCTTCTCCTTTGTTGAATATGCATCTTAACTAAAGGGTGTCCCAACAAGAGCGCAAGATTTAATTTGGTAATAAAATGCATCATTTATTCAAAAAGTGTTGATATTTTTATTTCAGTATAAAGCACACACACTGCGATTAATTGTGGAACACAATATCCTACAAATGTCCCCACGACTCTGCTGGCACACTCTTGCTCTTTTGACGAAATTCTCGATGACATTTCCGCATAATTGCGGCTCAATTTCGCCAATGACATGTCAAATCTCTGCCTTGAGCACAGGAATTGTTTGTGGTTTGTTGGCATAGACACGAGATTTCACAAACCCTCAAAGAAAGAAGTCACACGGTGTCAAATCGCACAATCTCGGTGGCCAATTCTGGTCGCCATTGCGTGAGATGACACGGCCAGGAAATTTTTCTTGCAACAACTCAGTTGTTTCGCGCACTGTGCCAGCAGAGTCATGGGGGACATTTGTCGAATATTGTGTTCCACAATTAATCGCAGTGTGTGTGCTTTATACTGAAATAAAAATATCAGCACTTTTTGAATAAATGATGCGTTTTATTACAAAATTAAATCTTGCGCTCTTGTTGGGACATCCTTTACTAGCTGACCAACCTATCCTATGACTAGTCACATAGACTAGGCACATGGACATGGACATGGAAAATGGGTGCATGGGCACATACACCCCTTTTCCAGAGAACTCCTCAATTCAAAGCTTCAAAACATGAGAAGAATTTTGGATGGAAAATAGTCATTTGAGGTAAGTGTGATCATAGGTAGGAGTGGTCAGAACACTTACTTGGTACTTACAAGTGTAATACATCATCAATAAAGTATCATTAAGGCAGTGGTTCTCAAACTTTGCTAACATGCAACCCCCTAGGAGTATTCTTTGGCTTTCATGACCCCTCTCATCCACATGGGGGAAGGAACCACAGAGCTATCCCCTTTGCACCCTGAGACTTTTAACACCTCATGATCCCCTTCATGACTTGCTGTGACCCTCCAGGTGGTCACAACCCAGTTTGAGAACCACAGCATTAAGGAGTACTATATCATGTCAATTCCACCTTGCATGGTCAGACTAATTCCACAGCTTCAACTGTGGAACATATTCCACATGTTACCAGGGTACCTTATTTCAACTCTAGTACTTCATCAGCATACTTCTTTCAACTTACCCTGAAGTGCCCAGTACTGGTGAATAAAAATCCTTTTCTTCATCACAAATCAAAATTTCAAGGTTTTCCAAGCTTGTACTTTTTCAAGTTCAATTCTTAATCAGCAAAAGCAAAAGCAAAAGATCATACTTATCCCATGAAATCAGCATGGGGGGGTGAGTGTGACCATTCTTAATGCTACTTCTAGAGTTTACATGCCTCATTCAACTGCAAAATGCAGGGCTTCACTCAGAAACTAATCATCAACTAAGCTCCTGAAGCTTAATGCATTCTGGGTATGATTTCACTATACAGTTGTTTACCTACAGTGAAACCCAAAAGTTATAGCACACCTTGCCATGCAGTGTTTTATTTGTTTTCCAGATACCAGACCAATGTGAACTGTGTTAGTGAGTAGATAGGACAAAAAGGGGCACTAGTTGAACAAGGACTAACATGTTTATACTCAAGAATTGCTAGGAAAATAAGAATGCAGAAGCTGTGCAAAGAGCATAAACTGTGACATATAACACCTGTGCACTAACAAACCAGGCAATTTACCAGCCATATGACAAATACTGGGTGGCCCAAAAAAAACATTCTGAAATTTACATGCCTACAGACAGTGTACCATATGAGTTATCGACTGGAAATTTACAGGCTTTTACATGCAATGTTTGCAGATAATGTATGAAAAATTTCATTGAAATTAGTTGTAAACAACGTGAGTAACAATTTTTCTCCCATACGATGTCAAAAGAGCAAGCATGCAAAGGAATGCGCTGAACTCGATGAGAGAACTGCTTGATGGGTCCTCCATGGATATGTCCTCCTTGGATCACCCACCAAAGCAGCACACCAGCAAACGCACTGACACACTTGCTCATTTGACGACTTGTACAGAAAGAGCTCTTACTTATGTTCAGAGCAAGGAATTTCATTGAAATTTTCCTAAAGCCACCTACCTATATTGGGTATGACACACTGAAAATTTCAAGATGATGCTTAGCTACAGCCAGGACACCATTGTCCTGGCTGCAGCTGCACGAAGTTGGAATATTTTTTTTGGGCCACCCAGTATGATAGGGAAGGTTCTATCATGGACGCTTGCAGAATTAGCAGACCAAGTCAACAGAGAACTAACAGACTACATAGACGATTACGTGAAATCTTTTGTTGTATTTCATACATTTTTACAAATGCACTGTATTTAATCTTCAGCATACCTAATTTTAGTTTGAATTATAATGAAGTAAAGGTCCCCCCATCTTCAAGCCATCTCACAATCCTTTACTAACTTCAACCCTAATACTCATTGAAACAGGCAATGTTTGCATTCAAGAAAATGATCGCAATATTTTAAAAAGTTTGAACAGACACAATCACCTCACCTGCTGTAGGATCACTTGCCAGGGCAATGTCCATGGCATTGTTGATAGCCTGAAACAGATTCTGCCTTGTTTTCTCTCCTGCAAAAAAATTAAAAGAATAACAGCAATTCAACTTGATAGGCAGCAACACTGACACTCAGTGATTGAATTTATTAGCCACCAGTAGTTTAGCGTTCTCTAGAGCCTTAATCTCAGAGTTGAAGCCATAGCACAAGTAGGTTCTAATGTCTGAGAAAATTAAGCTTAAAATTTGAATGCATCTATCCCAGCAACCAAGAAAGGTCAAGCCAAGGGGAATCAATTGAAAAATTGTGATTAAATATGAAGTATTGAAGGATTCAAACAGACTTGAGCAGCTCTTGGATAATGGTTATGTCAGCTTTACCACAGCAATGCTGTGGTATCTGACGATTTTCTGAATATCTGAAGATTTGTTTACAATGAGCCAATTGCGTCTTTGTGCATATTCTAGAGCAGATCAAATAGAGGAACTTTAGATTTGAATAATTTGAAGAGTATAACTTTCAGAAATTCCAAAGAATTTCTGAGGTGGCAAGTGTCGATATTGGCCACTGAACTTGATCAAACTGTTTGATATAGTGGAACTTCTTGTTTCAGCTTAGGAGGATAATACTTGGAATCAATTTAAAGAGGGAAATCTCACGATTAAAAGGACACCAAAATGAAGCTTATATCTTAACTAGAGGGGAAGTTATTGCAGAAACAGTTTCACAATTCCAGTCCGAATGGGCGCTGGGAGCGAAAATTAGGTCAAATTAAAATGCATATATCTGGAGATCTGTGGGAAAGAAAAAAAATTGGTTGAAATTATATTCTTTAAATCGATTCTTCTACGTATATGGCGATTTTCGTCAAAATCCGAGATGGTCGAGCTTTCTCGCTGGTCGATTTGGCGTGGAATGACCAAGCTTTAATCAATGCAGAGTTGATTAAATGATTTGCTAGTTTGGTAAGTAAAATTTGATGATATTCCCCGTATACATGCCGATTTTTGCAGAGTTCCGTCAAACGATGCTTGAATGGCGCGCGTTTACTTTTGGGACTTTAATTTTGGGACACCCTGTATTTAGCTGGGGCCGCCTGCGTGTGCCTCTTCGATAATCCCAAAACCTCTTTCCATTTTTGCCTCCCCCACCCTCGACAGAGACACATCGTCATCAAGGTCAATACGAAGAATTCACAGATACCCTTATCTTGAATCCAAGTTCATGAGCCATCGCTTACTCCAATCGTTCAAAAGTCCCTCACGCATTTCGTCCTGTTCCCCTACCACGTGAGGGAGACTTATTTCCGCGTAGTCGGAAAATTTACCCTTGAAGTCTCGTTCTAAATCGTCGACGTAAACGATAAACAAAAGTAGTCCCAAAATGGGTCCTGAGGGAACTCCACCCACGACCCTAACTTCGGATGACACTCCTCCCATTACTTTTTGCTCTCTTTTTGACAACCAACAACTTATCCAGTTGATTCTACCTTAAATCACACGTGCCTCCAATTTGACCTCTTAAGAGGAACGGTATTGAAAGCGTTAAGTTTAAATGTATGTCAACACTGGGTTCTCATCCCATCGTATCCGTTTCCCATTCGTAGTAGTCTAGTAAAGTAGTCGATAATCCGAGATGAGATTCTCAAATGAGCGAGTTCCTCTTCAGAAATTCTAGGACATGATTCCTGAAGACCCTTTCCATTATCTCACCAATAGTGCTTGTGAGACAGACCGACCTTCAAAGGCCGGTGCACACCGATTGCGATGTGTAGCAAAGCTGCACTGTTACAGTCTGCGAGACTTGGAGTTATTTCTTGACTGCTGCCGCATGCTAAGCATCTCGCACGTTGGTCACTAAGCAGGTATGGGAAATCCAACAAGTCGACTTACAATCTGAGAGCTAAAGCTGTGGCACTTCTGCTCTTTTGGTGGCAGAGGAAAAGCTCTTACCAGTGGTGAATACGCCCTATAAACTGATCTCAAGAGATGAGAAAATTTGCAACTCTAGTAGAAAAGATGGTCACAATAAACAAGGAGTACTCGATAAGAGTAAATACATGAGAATTTTTCTTAAGTTCCTTCTCAGATAATTGGAGAATTAGCTGAAAGAGAACATGAACCGCAAATCATATATATTTTCCAGCGCAAATGCTGGTAGTGATCTCTGATACGTTCCAATACTAATACTCACACATGCAGCACTACCAGTGTTACCCCTTAAGGTATCCCTTAAAGTACCTCATAAAGACTCGCTCGACGAGATTCAATCGGAATGAATGGCATCACATACCTACCTAGCTTATCCGTCTTACGTCATAGCTCGGTTTAAAAAATCATGAAGAAAACAACGCAAGTGATATGGGGCACCCTATCTCCCCTACAGGGTGAACCGTAAAGAAAAACTCCATTCTTTACCAAATGGATTGCCTTGTATTCGTTAGTGAGGTTCGTGAGTGGCTGGAATCACTTTTTCCAGGGTTAGACGTCAAGGCCTGCTGGAGTGGCCAGAACGATCACCTCAATTGGCCCCTTCTGATTTTTCTTTGGGGTGATGTCTGCAATGGAAGTTTTTACTGTGAAACCTCGGCAGGGACGTAGCCAGGAATTATTTTCGAGGGGTGTCTTGTGCAGCTCTTTCAAGCTCATGTTTAAGAGGCCGAGGCAGATGAGTGGTTGGGAGGAGTGAGGAAAACTTCGAAAGCCCTTTTGCACACCTGGGAGGACTCTAATTTCTCACTCTATTACAATACCTCTTTCTTCCCGCACCGTTTTTGGACGTGTGGAAAGATTAGTATCGCCCTTCAGATAGAAGGGTAGGTGAAAACATCCAATCAATGATAATTACAATTCTCCGAAACCAAAATTTCAGCTATGAATTTCAGGTTTGGTAAATGTGGTACCGTAACCAAGAATCTATAAGCATTATTTAAGAAAGAATTATCGAAGAAAGTTGGCCTTGGCCAACCCTGAAAAAAAAAATCCTCAACTTTCACCAGCCAGGCAAAAATTTTTCACGTCCCGCTCTCCCGACGGCCAAAAACGCTGTTCCTGCACGATAAGATCAATGCCAATGTGTGTCAAGGTTTTTATGATGGGCGATGCTGACTCGCACGCACGGAATAGCAAACGTTAACACTTTCCTTTCCGCAATCTGGCGAGGGCAAGTCTACAGAGCGGAAATTCCGCCGACGGTCGGGAATGTGTCGATTCGCACGAAGAAGGGTTTTGACGGTTCTTTGATTTCTTTCACTCGTTAGACCATTTGATTTTCACTAGCCAGGCTGTATTCTTTTCACTCACCAATCCGCCAAGCGTTCTCGCCGTAGAGGACTGGGTATTTCACAAGTCTGGCAGAGGTATAGATTAAACCAAGCATGGGAAACTTAGAATTCCTTTGAAAAATTTTTTTTTTCCAATCGCAAAGCCTCGATGAATGTGAAATAGTAAATGAAAGCCTGTACGTGCAGAGAAGTTCGTAGGGACACAAGTGGCTGGACTGGTATCATCCATGCGAGCGTCTTCCTCGGACTAGTCATTCTTATTCCCTCAAGCCGGTAATTTCACCAAATTTCCCTACCGCTCTAAAGCACGAGGCTGTTAGTACGTAGTTCGACAACCGGCTTGAGGAGCCAATCCCCTCCTCCCTCTGGGAATGCATGGAGCTATAGAAGCAAAAAATGGTGGGGCGCCGTATTAGTTAAAGAGTAATTATATTCAAAAGATGGAAAGGAGCACGAGTTTAAACTTCAGTTGTACATGTTAAACTTTTCACAACCCCCCCCCCCCTTCCCTGCCCACATTCCTCAGCTGGTACAATATTGGATAATTGCACTCGTGTCATTATGGGAGTTTCTCCAGTTTCGCATTTATTAAATTAACTCCTTGCTTACCTCGCAAGAATGAAGTGAGGAATTAACCGGATAACTATTTAATTAGACAAGGAAGTCGTCATATCATGCCATAACATTTCTGAAAGGCATCCGAAACTGCAATCCAGTTACTGATGCCCTCCGTGGCCCAGCGGGGACTGGGACGACTTCGTCGACACGATGGTCGATTCGATGGTCGATTCGATGCTTTCAAAAATCCGCTGGAAGAACCACCCGAGAAGCGTGGATATGGTCACAAGCTGAATGACCAGCAGGAGAGAATGACGGAACCGTGTCAAAACGCGCGAATTTCCGGGGCATATTCGCCCTTCCAAAAGGGGATCCTGACTCCATTCACTTCCTTGCGTGGTCTTTCCCATTTTGTGCGAGGTCAGTGCCAAAAAGCATGCATCTTGACTAGTATGTTAAATCAGGATTGCCTGGAGAATTTATTTCGTCTAATCATGGCTGTCGGGGGGACATGCATGAATCCCTTACAAGTTTTTATAAGCTTGATTCTTTCTGCAGTTTTGAAGCAGCTTACAGTTCTTCGACAAGTGATGAGCGAGGAAATTTGCTGGACATTTTCTACAAATTCCCTGATGAGTGCCCTTCGTTCTCAAACGCGTTTCTTGAGTGCAGAAGCGAGTCAGAGCTTTCTGAATTCATCGATCCAAGAAAATAGGCTCCGAACGACGACCGTTCCCATGAAGACGGCTGGAAGAAGTTTGAGGCTTAATTGCTTTCAAATGAAAGAGTCCAGAGCGGAGTTGCGGAAGGGAAGCGGTTCCTTGGTGGAAAGGATTCGTAGCACTCGGACATTTCCATTAATGCTCTTTGTCCGGGACTTTCTTTTGCATGAAAATGACTGAATGCCAAACATTGCCAATGGAAATGGGAAAGAGGAAATGGGCAAAGACGAAAGTATTGTGAGACTGGAGTGCGTCATTGTGCGGGAATCAAATCACCTTTCCTGCTCTTGTTGGTGCTTTGCCTTTCGCGTTTCTTTTCTTTTCTGGCGGTCCTGGTTTTCACGACGTCATTTGACTCTCCAAAAGCCGCATGCACACCTCTATGAGGTTGGAGAGAGGCAATTGTACATCAGGCAATGGAGAGGCTAACGCGAAACGCTTCCATGAAAAGGCTCCCCTTGCAAGCCTAGTTTGTCTCCTGTTTACCCATAGGAAAAACGATCGTCAACAGTTGAGTCACAAATAGAGCTATACTCCCAAAGCAATCCGCACCTTATCGAAGCGAGCTGAAAGCGAATCATATGCGAGCTATGATGTCAAGCTATGATGTCAAGCTATGATGTCGAGCTGAAAGCGAATCATATGCGAGCTATGATGCGATGTATGCGAGCTATGATGTCAAGCACATTCACGTGCTTCGAGTGACGGCGCTCTGTCCTCGGCCGCTAGGCGAGTGAGGCACTCCAACCCGAACAATCGAAGTATCTTCCCTTACGGAAAATTCCTTTAGGATCCTATAAGGGTTTTGACATGAAAATATTATAGGATTCCTATAGGATCCTATACGAATCCTATAGGATCCTAAAAGAACCCTATAGGGTTCCTATTAGAATCTTATAAGATTTTCATGGGGTGGTGAAATTATAAGAAATTAGTACATTTTGAAAAAGGATATGCAAATCAAGTTTCATGAAACCCTTAGTACGTGGCAATAATTGGATTCTACTATTTCAGACCTTTCATATGAGTTATTCCGTGCATTTCTAGCTGGCATAGTTTGAGAGTTATGAAATTCGCCACTTGCTTGAAAACCAATATTTTCTACATTCATATTTCGTGTACCAACGGGAATAGAAATTAAATATTTTGGATTTTAGAGTTTCATGTAAGACCGTTTAACTCTGGAAAATTTCAATTTTTTTCTGAGATGGTCGAGCGTCATCCTTCTCGTTTCTGGCCGTCGTCCTCGTTCTCGTTTCTGGCATCCTTGTCGGGATTGGCGCGCGTTGACAACACTGGCGCGCGTTGACGCCACGGGCACGGGATCGGGTCTGGGATGTTTTCAAGCGACACTATCTAAGATGAAATTTTTATTTGTACGATTGGTGACGTTTTTTGCTGAATGAAAGTAGAGGAATTTTTAATTGCGCCGAGTGGGACATACACTCTTAGAAAAAGGGGAGCGATTTTTCTCAAAATAGAGAGCAAAATAGCTAACTCCAGTTTCACCCCCCTTTCACTCTGGGAAAAATAGCTAACTCCAGTTTCACACCCCTTTCACTCTGGGAAAGGAGCGAATTTACTCCATCACCAAGGAGTAAAATTGCTCTCCTCCTCCATGAGTAAAAACGCTCTCATCAGAAAGTGATAGGGATATCATGCAAATACGAAAATTCTCCTATATACTGTGCCGCTTTCGCTCTCGTACAGGCTTTGACCTACCTCCGACTGTACTGAGTACAGCACACGTCAGAGGATCATTTGTTATCCACATATTCAAGAAATATTCATGGAGTCCAGGCCATAAACAAGCTCATATTTCTATTGAGAACCCTTTTGGACCACGTAAGGTTTTATCCGCATAGGAGATCGTCTAGATCTCCTATGCGGATAAAACCTTACAGAGTGTCCTATACAGAGTGTCCGTGAACTTCATTCAGTCACACCTCAGTTAAATGAGGAAATAAGGAACTGATATCTCGGACACTCTATGGAACCTATAAGAGGTCGTCTACCCTCTGACATGTGCTGTATTCAGTACAGGCAGAGGTAGGTCAAAGCCTGTACGAGAACGAAACGACACACAGTATATGAAAACTTTCATATTTGCATGCCAGGGGTGAAACTGGAGTTCGTCATTTTACTCTCTTTTTTGGGAAAAGTCGCTCCCCTTTTTCTAAGAGTGTATGCGGATGAAATCATACGCTTTCCAAAAGGGTTCTCAATAGGAATATGAGCTTGTTCATGGCCTGGACTCCATGAATATATCTTGAATATGTGGATAACAAATAATGAAGTGTCCGTGTTTATTGATTCCTATAATGAGACTAGGCGCGACATATGGCAAGGTACTAAACAATCCTGCAAGGGACGATTCCAGGGAAAGAGAAAAGGGAACTTTTGTGTACTGTGCGAAAAGCAAGACCCTTACCGCCATCTAGTGGCCTGGCGAAGAACTTCAATGTGTTCACTTCAATACGAGCGGTGATGGAGCATTTGGTGAGTAATAAGAGAGTAAATTCGAAAAGCTCACGGTGTGCTCGCTTTTTACTCCCCAAACGCTTTGAATTTTCTAAGAGTGTATCATCTATCGTAGTTATTGCATGTTCTTTACCATTTTGTGCTTAGGACGAGCATTTATGTGATAGTCCGCATCATTTAGGCATGGAGAATTTTCACATTTTATTCCAGGGGGGAATAGAGATGAAACAGAGTCTGTCAATACTAACAGTGAAGCTTTGGTAACGCCTCCCCGTACCGGAGAGCCGCTATTGTTCTTCGAAGCCCGCGATTTTCAAGCAATCGGCCGTTGCGATGCCGTCGCTTCTCGGACGAGCACGATGTTTTTTCGCCATTTTGAACGCGGTGTAAAGCATTCGGAGAATGCTTGCCTATTTACCGATTGGGCGTGGGAGTGCAACGTCCTTGACCGGTGAGGCGATTCATTTGTTTGGAGAAAGAGGGTCCCGTTCTTATTGTTTTTTAATTCTCTCTCTCTATCTCTTTCTCTCTGGGGTTCATTCGTGGTGTACTTGCGGGGAACGGTACATTTTTGTCCCAAATTTCTTCTGCAGCTTTTGCACGCGGAGGATGAAGCCCTTTTTGATACGTTTTTGAACAAAATTCGTCATGAATTGGAATTAATAATATCGATTTGCAGGGCCGTCCAGAGGTTTCCAGGGGCCCGGGCAAAACCACACCGAAAGCCCCGTGGGACATGTAAATAGAATATATTCTATCTACCTTGAGGAGAGGGAGGATTGCTAGATGATTCTTGCCTTTCCGGTAGGACTCATTTCCTGTGCAGTGCCTCGACCTGCTGGACAAACTATCGCCGCTTCCGCTCGTTCTGACTAATCACTAACCTAATCGCTTTCCAGGTGGAAATCCACGCAATACCAGTCCATTTACTTACCATGAATCAAGTCCCCCTAATCTTGCCCCCTCTTGCCCCCCCCCCTCCTCCTCCTCTTGCTCCAACAGGTGCAATGCTGTGTATTTGCAATCTAGCCGTTGTGGGTGTTCATATGTATGCACCATTTGTTAACTCAATTCCTCCCTTACCTCGCAACAATGAAGTAAGGAGTTAACTCGACCAATGAACTGGTTTAGATCTAGGAACGTCGTGTCTGGAATACTCAGCCTTGTTCCGGAAAATGTATAAACGGAGTATGGCAAAGAAAAAGATGAACGACTCCTAATCTGCATATCTCAGTTCTCATTGATAGGTATTTTCACGGAACCTGCGCTGTGAATAGATGGATATGTTCCTAATAGATCCTCGAAATTTAATCCTGGATTAAATTTGGATATTG